TCCTCCCTGGAGAAGAAGGATACTTTTAGCCTTTTGCTGGAGTGGGAAACATGGTGAAAATGTACAGAATGTGGGAGAAAAATCTCAGGATCTAACTGCTCCTAAAGGGCTTCAATTAGTCTTTTTTTTTCTTTTAATATGGGAATGGATCGTGGTTCTGTAGTTCTTTCTTATGTTAGTTCAAACAGATACTTGTTGAATACTTACTATATTCTGAGTTCTGCAGGTGAAGTAGGGGTAGGGCATGGACACTGTACACAGAGGGGACCACAGGAGCAGGGATCCTGAAGCCAAAAACTGCTTGAGGTGTAGCTGGAACCTGACCTTCAATGTCAAGTTATGCCATTCTAAAGGATAGGTAACAGGATTCACTATTAGTTAATTTTCTTTACTTCTTGCTTTCTTCATTTTACTCCTACTTCCTACTTCTAGAGGAGTTTGATTTCATCAGTTCTTGAGAACTGGGGCTTCTGTGGTATACCTTGGTTACTGTCTGCTTTCTCTATTGCTCATTTAGCTATCAGCCACTCATCTTTTTTCCCAGTTCAAAATTTAAACAAGAAAATTGAAACATTTTTTTCACTATTTGTCAATGAGGTAGGAGTGAGATTAGTTGCAAATATTCAAGCTACCATCTAGGCTCAAAAGTCTTACTGTAGGACATTTAATGAAATTTGAGGACAGCAGACACTAGGAATCCTATACAGTATCAAGCCAAGCTTTTAATTTCAAGTGATCCCAGGTTGATAAGTACCTTTTGGTTTCTGGCAGATATAGTAGAGGAGGAACCCACTTTTCACACAGGGCCCAGAGTATTCCTACAGGTAAAGTTCCAAGGGATATGCATTCATAGTCAAAGGTTGCCAAGCACTCTAGGAAATGGAACACAGTGAGAGGGAGCTAGCAGGAGCAACAAAAGAGTAGTAAATACAAAGCCCTCAGATTGTGGGATTATCAGACACAGACTGTTATATAAATACGTTTAATAAATTGAAAGAAAAGGAAATGGAGAAAATGGGTATATAGCCACAAAATTATAAAAATGAAAAAACCATTTGGAAAAAGATCAAATAGAACTAGAAATGAAACACTTAGTCATTGAAATAAATTTAAGCCTGGGTTAACAGGACAGTTGAAGAGGGAATTGATTGATGGAATGGTAGATCTTAGAAAATTATCAAAAACAGGGATGCCTGGGTGGCTCAGCGGTTGAGCATCTGCCTTCGGTTCAGGGCGTGATCCTGAAGTCCCAGGATCGAGTTCCACGTCGGGCTCCCTGCATGGAGCCTGCTTCTCCTTCTGCCTGTGTCTCATGAATAACTAAATAAAATCTTTTATCTTTTTTTTAAAAAAGAAAATTATCCCAACCATAGCACAGTTGAGACAAAGAACTCCAAAAGGAGAGATAAGAGAAAATGGCAGAATCAGAATTTCCCAGAGTGAACAGGATACCACATGGTTCAGAAAGTCCAGTGACCCTCAGCAGGTTATGAAAGAAAAAGAGGGTGAAGAAATAGGCTGACTTGGTGTCAAGTTTGGTACTGCAGAGCACCACAAAGATATTTAAAAAGCAACCAGAGAGAAGAGAAATTACCAAAACAACGATTCTGTAGCCACCTGACTCCTTGACAGCGGTACTGGAAGCCAGAAGACAGCAGAATGTTAGTTTTAATGTGCTATGAGAATATAGCTGTCCGTCTAGAATCTCTACCCAGTGAAATAATCTTTCAAGAATGAGGGTAAAGACTTTTCAGTCACAGAAACTGAATAAACTTGCTAATAACAGATTATCCATGAAGGAAATTCTAAAGGATAAACTTCAGACAGAAGCTAATATCATAAAAGAAATTGTAATGGAAATTAGGAAAATTTTAAAACCGAATGAGAACATATCAAAACCTGTGACAGTTGGGAGAACATTTGTAACACTAAACACTTACATTATAAAAGAAGAAACACTGGAAATTAATCAGCTAAGCAAATAATTCAAGCTAGAAAAAGAACAATAGGATAAGCCCAAAGAAAGAAAATGCAAGCAGATGAACAAACATCAATGAAACAGAAAGCAAGCAGACAATACAGAGGCTCAGGAAAGTTGGGTTTTTGAAGAGTAATAAAATGGACAAATGTCAGGTGAGCTCAATGAAGGAAACTAGAGCGATGATACAGTATTAGGAAAACAAAAGTTATGTGCACAGAAATTAAGATGAGTAGAGGAGGTTATAGGAATGCCTTTCTGGCAATAAATATGAACATTTAGACAATGAATGTCTAGAAAAATATCATTTATCAAAACTGATTAAGAATTGGAAATTCTAAATAATTCTGTAACAATTAAAATGTGAAATCATTAAAAATCTTGTTTCAAGGGCACAGGTGAACTATACAATGGGATCAAGGTGTATTTTCTGTGGAAACAGGAAGAAGTGACATACCAAATGCATTGTTTTTTAGCAATAAAATTATCCGTGATAACAGTGCCCTAACAGTGATAGGCCAGTTCTGTTCATTACTGGAATAGAAGGATCTTTTATGGTCCAGAATAAATTATATACTCATCAAAAAAAATTCTTGTTTCAAACAAAACTCTAGGCCCAGATGCTTCTGCTGTCAAGTTTTACCTGACATTCAACAATCTCAGCCTGTTCCAGAGTATAGATTGGGAATACTCTCCAGCTGAATGAAGCATAACCAGTAACCACATGAGAAAGGAAACCCACTTATCAGTCTCACTTATAATTGGCAAAAATCCTAGACAGTATATTAGCCAACTAAACCTAACAGATATAAAAACCTGACCAAGTTGGGATTATCCTAGGTCATCAAGGGTGTTCTAATATTTAAACATTTATAGTGTAACTTATCATATTAACTAATTATAAGGGGAAAAATCATACTATCCTCTTAGTGGGTGGACATGCAGTTTTGGTTAAAATTAAACAAATTATAAAAAAAAACTTAAAATGATGGTGGGAATTTTCATGATCCATTAAAAGGTTTCTACACAAACCTACAGCAAATACCATACTTAATGTTGGAATAGTGAAAGCCTTACCTTTGAGATCAAGAGAAGATAAGAATGCACATATGACTATTGTAAGTCAACTTTATAGTAGGTATTCTAGCCAGGTAAGTAAAATAAAAAACAAAAAATACATAAAGGTTGAAAAGAGGAAACCAAATTGCTGTTAGTATTTGTAGGTGATATGATTTTATTTAAAAGTATATTCAGAAACACCCTCATCTCTTATTTTACAAAAATAAGGCATTTGTTTTTTTTAATTAAAAAAATAGTAAAAATGAAATGAATCAGACATGCATCTGGATGTAGGTCCTGAATCTGAGTACACTAAGTAGAGGCAGCGAAACCTACAACTCCCCTGGTTGGTTTTCTGTCTTTCAGGGATCACTGTCTTTTGTTGCCAGATTTCCTAGTGTCTTGAAAACTGTTGTTTTATACATTTTGCTCCAGTATCTTAAAACTGTTGTTTCATATAAAAAACATGTGTTTGTTTTTGGCTGTTTCAAATGGGAGGGTAAATCTGGTCTCTGTTATTCCCTCTTGCTGGAAGCAGAAGTTTAATTAAATGCTTATCAATTCTTAGTCCTCTTCTGTTAATAGAGTTATTTTAACATGCACTTTGTTCCGGTGCAAGGCCTTTCCTTTAAAAGCATGTGTAGGTTTAAAAAGAAGTTTTTTTAAAGAAACGGGTCATTTAAAGGCTTAATCCTGAGGACCTTTAAGTAAGGTAGGGAGGTGCCCTAAAATGGATAATTCCTGAGGCTTTTGTTTTTTTGCTGCTACATGCTTTGTTACCAAAGGCTGTTCAAGGTCTCACCACCGCTGGAGTTTTGACCCACTGATGTGTTTCATAAATTTTAATGAAAGACAGATTGAGAGAAACCACTGATGGGCCCACATGGTTGTACCAGATCTTGCACTGGCTCAGAATGCAAATCTCTATGAAATTACTCTTAAGTTACCTTTGTGGAAAGCCCCAAACTCCATCTTCTGGCTCGTATGATCTAGCTAGGTCAGATCAAAAGTGATTTGCAAAAACTTTCATGTTCTTGGCACATTGCTATGATTTATTTTTAAGTCACAGAAAATTGTTCAAATATTAGCACACATATTATATTTGCCAATAAACTAGGTATGGTTATATAGAGCACAGTGTGCTTTTTAAAGGAGTTTGTAAAGAATATGGTTTAACTTGCCAATGTGTGATAATAAGCTTATTTCTTGTGCATAATTATGAGATTTGTAATTCACTAGCAGATGTTTATTTTTATTTAGTTAAAATTCAGACGTTCTTGGCTTAACTCACATTTTCTCTGTATCTCACAAAATTAAAAAAAATTAGACAAATTTTTGTTCAAAACATCCTTTAAATGGGGCCATTATTGTAGAAACAGATTTTATTATTGCTGCTAATAAGGATCAGGGAGAGAAAAGGAAATTGAGATCTTTGAAGGGTCCCTCAACATCATTTAGTCCTATCTCTTTGAGCCTCCCCTGCTGCTGTCAGACCCACTAGCTTACAGAGCAGCAGAGCTGCCTCATGGGGACTCTGGCTCCCTTCATTTCTGTAGCCTACTTGCTGAGCTAATGAATAGTGTAATGGCCAAGAGATAGGGAAAAATATTAGAGAAACCAAAAGGCCTAGATTATTTGAAACTAAATAATTAACATCAGAATAATGAGGGATTGACTGCCTTTCCCATGCTGGGTTCTAGTCCTTTGATCAAAGGGTGTCTTTTCTTTATTGTTTTATACTATCTTAATCAAAACAGCCTATATAAATAATTGGATTTGGGCTAGGTAGGATGAAAATGAAAGAGAGATTAGAAATAGCATATACTCCTTTTTTAAATTAAGCATTCAGATGGATTTTAATAACTTAAACATGTTAACTGCAATTGCTATTCGTAGTTAAAAAGTGGAAGGGTATTTTATTTTGTTTTTGGTAATTCTTAACAGTATGTGTTTTTCTTTTCAGCTACTAAGTCAGGATTGTTACCTCCACCACCTGCACTCCCTCCAAGACCTTGTCCGTCACAGGTAGGACACAGAAGTTGATTTCTGTGCACTGTTTGATAGAAGGGAAGTTTTCCTACCACTGTACTTCCTTTGCAAGGGTTGATAGCTACAGAACTAACTGGCTGGTCACATTTCCACGATGACATCTGGACAAAGCAGAGTGTGGTTTCATTTCTTATCCAGCCAGTCCCCCAACCTCACGTGGAAAAGGGAAAGTTTCCTCAATAAGCAACCAAACAAATGCATAGTAGTTCACCTTTGGCCCTAGAGGGTTGCATATTGTTTTCAGATAGAGAAAGGAGTAGAAGAATGGGCATTTCTCCAGTTGCGGGGGGCATGATTTGTTTTTATGTATAATTTAGGTGTGTATATTTTCATCAGTATTTTAGGAGTTGTATTAATTCTCCATAATTAATGGTCATCACCATGGTGTTAGTGCTGTGTTTGGAGCCTATATTGCTTTCTGTAGGATGATATTTTCCTTTGGAACAATAAGCTGAAACAGCAGGAGTTGGGAGAGGGTGTCACCAAAATCTGTTTCACTTGTGAATTAATTCTGCCTCATTTATATGTGCTACTATGGCCTTATTCATCAACACTCCTTGTAGAGTTAGAAATGAGAAGCAAGCAGCAAATCTGCAGAGTGTGGTAAAGGGTGCTACAGATCTTTCTTTTCATTAATTGCTGTTAAAGAGACTTTAAAGGCCTTCTAACTTTAAGCAGAAAATGTTGGAAAATTTCTCTCTAAACAATCTCAGTTTCTACCTTATTACTCTAGATGGTTTAGAATATACCTTTCCATGTGGCACATCTTAGGACTTGCTGAGTCATTGAAACCACTTTTAACATTTGCTTGTCCTTCTTTTAGAGAATTAGATCATTTTTAGCATCCACTCAACCTTGAGGTGCAAATACAATGAGTACTGCTTTCCTTCCTCAGTTTGAAGGGTAATAAAAAAACCCCTGTTCTTCCTGACACATAAATGGGTGAGAACCCCCTTTCTAATACTCTAGGATTGGCTTTAAGAGATGTTGATTAGTCAACAAGTATTGAGTCCCCGCTGTATGTCTAATGGCAAGCTTTAGTTCTGTCCTAAGCTTTTCCCTGGTTATAATTTCTGTTCATTGAAATTATTAGCTCTGTTTCTTGAGCATCTGCAGTAGACAGATATTGTGATAAGTGCTTTCAATGCATTATTTAATTTTCACGAAAATTCTATGAAGGAGTATTGTTTTACAGATGAGGAAGTTGAAGCATACAGGGGTTAAGCAAGTCAGCCAAGGTTACATAGCTATTAAATAGGTAGAGCCAGCTCCCAAACCGAGGTCCATCTCCTAAAGGCCCCTGCCCTGCCCATCAATGGAGCTGAAGTGTCTATGCATACAGTAAGATAGTGATCTGTTGCTCTGGCAGGATGAGGCTTTCACCACATTCCCACTGTGGAGGACCTAGATGAGACCAAACTCCTGATTGGTACCAACAGGAAACCTGGGCTTTGTCACAACAAAATGTGGGCATTCTGGAGGCACTTATCTACCAGCTACTGGTTTTAAACTGGGGCTCGGGAGCCACTTGTATGAATGCGTGGAAGACCTGTCTGAAAGAACTTTTGTGATCAACCTCCTTATCTTCTACTGCGCAAATAACAGTGATTACTTCCTGCTTGTGAAATGTGTTGCTGCTATTAGCAGTCCTCATCTGACCTGCTTGAGATGGGCTTCCTGCCTGCTTGGGGGCTTAGTGACCAAGGATCTGATGGGGGGCTGGGAATTCTCAAGTCACTGTTAATGAATGAGACTGCTTCTTTGTCTACCAGATTTCCCATCACAATGTAAACAGTGAGCGCAGTGCTCATCCCAAGCCTCCAACTCAGCTGCCTAACTATGGAGATTTCAGACTGCAGAAACAGGTGTGTAAGAAATGCAGGCAGAAAATCCCTTCACCACTTCCCTCCCCCTATTCTCCCCTTTTCTTCCACTGTGAGTGGGACACACACATTCAACCAAGGAAATCCTGGGTACTGAACACGTGACTGTATTTAGTCCTTGTGCAGTGTCAAATACCTAATGGTCCTGGGAGAGTCTCACCTAAGCACTTGGATGGGGGCACCTGTATATTCTAGTCTTTCCCAAACTGCTTATGATAAAGCAGTCTTCTGGGAGATGTTAATAGGGCTCTGTGGTTAAGACATGTTTGCAGGCTCCTGCCTCAGTGCCCGCTTGTGGAGAGTCACAGTGCATATGGGCTCACTAAAGGATTTGAAGTCCTACAGTAAAGAAACCTGGTCAATTTTGGTAAAGCTCGCAATTCTGTCGTGTGCGTGACCATTCACCTCTTTATTTATACAATACTTAACCAATACTCTAAGGGCTTGGTGAGTAGGAAACATTATTCTACACCAGCCTTAAGATATTGGTAAGAACATTTCCAAACTACTTTCATCTGTCACCTCTTCTCTATATTATGTGATTAAAGTTAAATTATCATATCTGAGGCCAGTAGTTTTTCTTAGAAGAGTTGAAACCAAAAAAAGAAAGTTTACCACATGTTAGCTTCGGATTTCTAGTTGTCATGTTTTCAGTTTGTTTTGTTTTCTTATTTGCTTTATTTTTCTTTCTGGCTTATTCTCTCATGAGGTCATTTTTACTACTTCACAGCAAGCTTTATTACAGCAAACCAAAGCATTTTGAATTCCTCCTTTGCTCTGTTAAAAAAATTTTTTTGAGTATTCCTTGTTATATATGGACAATTGAACTGACTTAGAAAAAAAAAACCTCAGAGACTTTTTTTACGAGACTTAAACTGTAGTACTGAGGGGAGAGAAACAAGGAAACTTGGTATAATTTAAATCTTAAATTTATTAATAGCTCTGACAAGAGATTAATATAAAGAGATTTTGGATTTAAAACTTTTAAATAAAGATTTTATTTATTTGAGAGAGAGAGATAGAGAAAACAAGCAAGGAATGGGGCAGACAGAGAAGCAGACTCCCCACTGAGCAAGGAGCCCGACCCGGGGCTTGATTCTAGGACCCGGGGATCACAACCTGAGCTGAAGGCAGATCCTTAACTGACTGAGCCTCTCAGGCACTCCTGGATTTAAAATTTTCATATTATTTGACCTGATAAGTGGGTAATGCTAGATTATAATAAACAAGAAAACATTCTGTTCCCTAAAAAGGAACAACTGTTTAAAAAACTATGTGGCCAGTCAGTGATGTCCTTTGAGATTGTAAGTATGTAAGAGAAAAGCATTTGTACATTTGTAGATGTGTGCACAAAGGTATATATAGATTGTTTCTACATACACTAAAAGTATATCTCTACTTATATCAAGTGAGAGAGATGAGGTATAGGTTTTCAGCATAAAATGCAGTTTAGCTGGCCCCTACTTACACTAAGCCTCAGTATGATATGGACATCTGGAGGAAATTATACAGATGGGGCCCTAGAGTTAGGAAAAGGAATAAATTCAAAGAAACAGATCTTTTTATTTTTCATACTATAGGTAAGATCAAGAGAGACCAACTGAATATATAAAGAATCAAATGGTTTGTGTTCCATATTTTCCTGGGGACAGGCTAGAGACCAAGGGCATGGTATTTTGGCTCAGATCAAAAGAGGTGACACATTTATTTATAAATTTTTTTGAAAAGACTGATTCATAACATAAATGACTAAAAAGCAGAGTTAACTGTTTCATATAGAGCAGTGTTAACATGAGAGTTTAACTTAGTAGCTCACTGTCTGCATATAAACTGAGTAAAATGCCATCTACAGGTGCTTGTCCTGTGGGCCAGTTCTTTGCTAAGGGCCTATTTGGTACTCCAATAATTAAATCTCTTTAATAGTATTGATCTCATGCCACATTTCTTCTGGAAATAATTTTTATAAAAGAAAAGAGGTTTTTTGGTACAAAGGATAATCTTTTCAGTTTTATATTAACACCACATTTGATGTATTGGGGCTCCCTGTAGACTAATGTACTCAGGATTTTAAGCTAATTTCTTACCTCATAACAGCAAGTGCTTCTCACTGGCAGTGCAGGAGTACTAAAATAGCACTGTAGGATGAAAACACTGTGGAGGAAACATTTGATCAATACTTTTAAGCTTTAGACCAAGAGGGCTTCATGGAAGGGCTAAGGTGATCCATGAAGTGAGCTTTAAACAAGAAAACTTTTCTTTTCACATGGCCAAGGAGTTCAGAGCATTACTGTAAAGAAAAAGCAAATTCATGGTTCAGGCATGCAAGAGATCCCCATGTGTTTAAGGAACTGCCTGAAATTTAGAAAGCTAGATTTTAGGGGAGAGAGATTTAGTGTTTGAACATGGCAGTGAAGAGCCAGTGACCTGCCCACTTGAGTCCCAGTAATGCCAGAGCTTTGGGAGAGGAAAGGTACCCTGACAAGAGAGTTCTGTTGGGGGAACAGCCCTTGAGGGGATAGCACAGGGCATCAGTTAGCCCAGTGGTACTCGTACACACTGGAATCATCTGGGGGAGAGCTTTGAACCTACTGAGGTCTGGGTCCTACCCCAAGAGATTTTGGTGTGGTGGGTGGCCCAGGCATTGGGAGTTTTAAGAAGCTCCCCACATGATTCTAAAGTATAGCCAGGATTGAGAAACACTGAATTAAGGCAAGAGAAGGAATGTTCAAAGACCAACTTGAGAATGTAGGGAATTTGTTGATGGTATGCCCAGTTCTTAAAGGGCACAGTGGAAGGCATTCTTGAGTTGGGGAGGGTGGGAGGCATAAGGTCAGGTTAGGGGATGTACCCATACCCTGTGGTGACAAGAACCCAGATCCTGATGAATGGCCTTGGGAGTTTCTGCCTTCTTGAGATGGCTGACTCCAGTAGAGTTAGAGGGCTTGATGGAATGGTCTTGCTGGACGGACTAGCCACTGTGCACCTCAGGTCCTGTGTGTGCTACTGTGAAGGACTAGCCATGCACCTGGATGGCCATGAGAGGAAACCATAGTCCATGCAGCAAGTCCTTCATCTAACTTTGTCATCTGGCTA